GGAAAGATAAAAATTACAGAAAACAAACAAACAAAAATTGAACCCAGTAAGTATACTTTTTATGCTCTAACTATTAGAATGCATTGTTCATCACACGTGCAGAACAAATATGCAGCACATTTCATAACAGAATATAATAATTACTCATAAAATTGTTTACAATAACTGTAGGGTAAAAAACTTGGTTTATCAAGGAAAAATATTTCACATTTGTTTTTTAAATAATTTCATAATTTGTCAGGTAGTACAACACAGAAATGAAAAACAAGGACTATTAATATATAGCATATATTTAGGGTAACTACAAAGCAAGAGCTTTATCATATACCATTATATACAAGCATTGTGATAAGTCATACTTGCACAACACTGTTGGGGCTTTGCAAAACTGGATGGTACGAGGAGAATGATATGTTAAGTGGAAAAATGGCTACCAAAGGATCATTCAATAAGATCAACTGCTCTGAAGAATCATTCCAATAATCTGATCTTGGAATAACATCTCCGTCAGGGTGCAGCTGTTGCAACCCCGTTACTTCCATTTTGACATTGAGAAAAAATTAGCCCAATTTGACATTCTAAAAACCAGGCTCACCCAGAGGACAGGGTATATTTCTCTGAGCATCACCATCCACCAGGTGGCACATAAGAGCAAAAGTACAAAATGTATCAAATCAGTATGGAGCATTTAGACAAGCTTCAATTAACAGCAACTTCAATCATTTATTCATTTACATGGCCTGTCCTGCCACTGATGGATGTATCTACAGCTCACCAATACATCTGCAGTGGTGAATTAAACAATGCCCCTACACATTAAATTTGTAGATATGACCTAGTTTTTTACATGCAAACAATTGCAGTATGTTTTACTATTATTAGTAGCAGAAATATGCAATTGGAAGTGATGGCCTAAAATTTACATAGGTGTTTTAAAGTGTATACCACTGTTTTTATCATCTGAATAAATATATGTATACAATTTCTGCTATTTGGTTTACTAATTTCAGCCTTTTATTTTTTATAAAATCATATAATTCAATCAATTCTCTGAGGGAGGGGAGAAGGTCTGATGAACTCCTCGTCTATGTCCACCTCCAAATGGTGTTGAGCATAAAGGAAGGAAGGAAATGCAAAATAGAATAACATAAAACATGCAATCTTGTTATCCTTTGTTATTTTCATAATTTGCTTTCTTTTCATTCATGTTTGTTCTGAAAGGAAATTAATTTTTCACTTTGTGAAAAAACATAAAACAAACAAAGAAAAAACACAAATTTTTAATTATATACATGAATGGTACTATGGTATTCATGTTTCTACATTGTGAAACTGACTCACTAATTAGCAACCAGCAAGTATTACCGAACTGAATCAAACAGATACAACTTGAAGCAAACAATGAATGAAGATATCTTCTCTAACAATCTGATAGCAGGAAGCTGGCTTACATGCCACCCTAATCACAAGGCAGCAAAGGTCCTTGGAAATTGGAACTGTTTTCTCAACAGAATTTCCTTGTGTTTGAAAGATAAATATTTTGCAGCTTGTATATTTGATTTTATGACATGTATATATATTACCATTCTTAAAAATTCCAAATTTATTTGACCACAGGATTACAATCACTTCACCAAATAGCCCATTTATCTGCCATAAGCAGAAGTGGAGATTAGGCCTAAATAAATTTGTGAACAGCCACAAACTCTATTGTTAAGCAATCATACTCTTATATATTTGTCAGGTGGTATATTTTAATATTCAGATGTTTTTATGTGGAGATGGAGATACCTCAATTTACAATATAAAACTTAGCCTCATTTTTAATAGTCTGTTGCCCAGTTGGCTTCCTATTACATATATAGTAATGCCATTTGCAGTTCAATGTATTCAGCCTAATTGGTTAATAAATGGTTATTCAGATTTCTGAATTATGATACATATGTCCTTGATATGTTTTACAATCCTCAATGTATCCTTTTCCAGGAAATGAAAGTATGGGTGAACAACTGAGAGCTGCAACATTTATTCAGATTATATCAGAATCTGAACTTCAGTGAAGATGATAGTCTGCTTTAGCTATATCAACTCACGGTAGGGGATGACATCAGTTCTATCAATGTGTCCTCAGGAAATACAAAAGATATCATAAGAAAGGAAGGCCATCAAACTACAGGTGTTAGAGACTGGGCTGGCATGTTACAAATTTTATCAATGAGTATGCTACTGAAGATGAACATCAAAAGTGTATTTCCTGATGTTCCATGGAATTATCAAACCATTTAATAATGACACAATGTAAATATTTTATCCCCAAGATGCAAAGTCTCCAGTTATCATATTATGAACCAAAGATGGAACACTTGATAATACCACAGGTGTTACTTACAGAACAAACCGCATTACACCAATTGTAATTGGGACACCTAACAGGCTAACTCAATCTCACCATGGAAAAATGGGCAACAACAAAATACATTTTCATTTAAAGTCCAGACCCTTCAAGTTCCCATCTGATACCAGTGATAAAAATGTTCAAGTCCAGATAATTCAATCATGACACACATAAATCAAAGTGGTGGAGATGGTTGGGACATAGCTAATTTTGTCAATGTATCACTTGATAATAAGATGAAACTAAAAGTAATAGAAAATATCCAAAAACTAAAAAAGGCCAGAAATTGAAAGAGCTTTGTAAAGTTTTATGAGTGGAATACTACGTTGACAGATTATTTGAACTTCATGAATATACTGTGATGGTTATTGAGACAATATCTCTCTCTCTCCATACAAAAGATCAATTCAATCAGGTGCCAGCAACTGAGATAGCAACCTTGCTCTCTGAGTCACAAAGTTCCAATTCATCATCTCCTTGGTGGTAACATCAGGAATCCTTTTATACCTGAAGTCTATATCAACATTTCTGCAGACCAGAGCATTGGACCTAAGCAGGGCTTTGCAGCCATAGAATTTGTTTAGATATCTTTGTAGAAGGTCAGCAACTCAACAACTTCCACAATATACGATTTGATGAGGCAGTGACTACTGCTGAAAAAGTGAATGTGGTGCCTACCATGCCATCGGTTGTCAAAAGGCAGATGCTCAGAGCCTAAAACCCTGTTACAAACCCTAAGGAACATTACAGAAGAAAATTAATGATTCCTTTTCTATACCAGGCACTAACAGAAATAAATGCAAGATTTACAGAAGAGTACCAGGAGGCCCTTGATGGAATGAAATTGATGCCAAAGCAGATCTTTGCTTCACCTCAGCTATCAGCAGAGCAAATTTCTCTCTGTGAGAAGGACATATTCTCACCAGTTGATTTAGGTGCTGAGATGTACATGTGGAAGAATCACCAGAGAACATCTGAGTGTCAAAATGAGGATGCCTTAGATGAGGCCCTGAGGATGGCCACACACATGAAAGACATGTTCCCAAGCATTGGGCCATCCTTCAAATAATGGTTGTTTTACCTGTCACTAAAAGTGAAGCTGAACATGTTTTCAGGCAGTTGAAATAACTGAAAACTTACTTTTGTAACTCAGTGAGTGAAGCTAGATTGAATGGGCTTGTTCTTATGAAGATTCATTAGCATATAGTCACAACAATTAACATTGGCGACGTTATAACGAGATATGCCACCAGAAATCCAAGGTGCATGGCCTTACAAAATATCTTCACTGTGCTTGGAGCAAATTAAGTGACATACTTTTCACTTTTACAAGAAATAAAGGATTGCACACAGTTACTTCATTATATATTTTATATTCACTCATTAAGTAAAATGAAATTATAATCTAATTATTCAAATTTAATACTACCTCTCTCTCCTTCCAATAATTTTTATCAAAATTGGAAATTAGCCCCCCCTACATTTCTGTATCCTCCATTGCATCAGTTTGGTATCCTAGCTGTTAAGAATATTTTCATCTGTAAACCTAATAACATTTCATGAGGTTTGGCAGCTTAGGAGATTTATGTTAGTTGTTAACCCTATCATCATGGGTATCCTTTACTGCGCATGACACAAGTTTTAGTGTCTTATATTCAAAATTATATTAAGCTATTTTTTGTTTATGTTATACCAATTAGTATAGCATAAAATCATAGCTAATAATCCATATTTTAATAGTATATAAGTTTTAAGATCTTAATTCTACAAGGCAATATTTAAAAAAAATCCTGAATTTCCCTTAGTGTGACATACGTGACACATTTTCTCTTGGTATCTTATTTTATCAACCACCCCTACAATAACTAGAAATTAAACATAAATTACTCACTATAGAATAGTCATTGCTCAGACAAACCATAATTTTTTTACCCTTCAATTTTGTTTGGTTACAGAGCTTTCAAATAAAAAATCAGACCCCTCCTGCCACATCCTTTCTTTCAGGATTTATTAATAGTTCTCTCTTACATTTAATTATATATTACCTATACAGATATAGAAAGCGAAGGTTTTCATACATCAAATGACATATTGTATAACATTGTGTTCTGAACAGCTTGAATGACTTTGTAACAGTTCTTGTTGCATAGTTAGAAAGCCAGAAAAATTTTGAGAGTTAGGGGAACTTGTCTACTTTTTTTTGCATGTTATTAGTCTATGTTCTTTGATGCATTATTTAATTAAATAAAAATTATTTAGTGCATTACTATCATTAGAATAAAAAAGTAGGGTTAAGTTTCATCGACAATAAGAAAAAAGAATATTGGGTAAATACTTTATTTCTTGTTTTTCATGTTTATTCTTTATCTATTATTATAAAAGTAACTAAAATGTAAAAAATAGGGATCATTTTAGGTTAGTTATTATTAGATTAGGTAAAATAAATAATAATAATATAATAAAAATGTTTCATGTGAAGAAAAGTATTTTTAATCTTAACATGAAAATCACTTTACACACAAAACAAATACTCAATATATTCTTGGATAAATATCTATTTTAGTTTATTTAAAATACTTCACTAAAAATTGTATTTGTTTTCTGTGAAAGACTTATAATGTTAACTGAAAAACTGTCAAATTTTGCGAATATATACATACTATATTAAAGTAGACGTATTAAAGACTATACAGACTTTAAATTAGTACAAAAAGGGCACATGGTCAGTCAAATTGGCCGAGACCATTTCAAGAGAGTTAACAACCATGGCTACAACCTTATAATGTTGCATAGTAAAACTCTGTCATTATTACATTAAATTCTTGTGAAGCTGATGTGCAGACAGTGTATACTTTCAGTTATAAGGTGTATCCATATGATTTTAAACAGCTGTACAAATACTAAAACTTGCAAAGTTTTTCCCATGTAGTAAATACTAGTTGTTTTTAATTTCCCCAATCAACAATCAAGATTCACATGTTAAAAAAAATTAATAAAAAAATTGTTTCTTCACACATTAAACTTTGATATCATAGCTCTACTTTAAAATCCTTTAAGTTATAGGATAGGGTCTGTAACACTGAATGATATGTATATTTCAAATTCTTGGATCTAAATTACTAAACAATCAATCACAGGTCAGGCAGGATTAACTGAAAACATAATAATAAATAACAATATCAGCTTTTGTCAAATTTCATTAGAAACTTATGAGTTGCAGATGGACTAAGTGAACTATACATATAGGTTTTTAAAGAGTGATTCTCTCGCATAACGGTTTGCCACAATGTCTCCAGATCCTCTTCAAGGAACCTATGAAAAAGAAGATGCTTACTGTGAATTGAACAGAAATACTTTGTATTTTCAATTTGCTTCCAAAAAATGACTATATTGACATAATATTATTTGAATATAATATTTGATCATATTTACATTAATATGTTATAGCAATTTGTATAAAACACAGAACCAGACTGTTTATGTACACTAATATTAGTTGTACAGTGTTTAGTTTAAAGCACTAATCCCCAATTATATTTGTCAAGAGATTTTTAATTATGGTACCCTGAAAGCTATGAGCTTGAAAAAGGAGAGTATTGTTGGCATAACCTTCTTCACGTTGCTACATAGTCTTACCTGGTATTTGCAAACACTTAAGTACTATTTTTTTTACTATCCATTTTTGTAATCATATACATTTCTGCTTTGGGGAAAGGAAATGTAAATTATAAAACTGAGGAAGTCCTTAGTTGTGACATAGCTTAAATTTCATTGTTTATTTCCTTGAGGAATAACCAATGAACAACTTTATGTAAAATCACCTATGGAGTATGCTTCTCAATATCATGTCATTTAATTTCATACATCATTCTTGTGTTTGATTAGGCACTATACATTTATGATAGAAAAAAATAAACACAAACTATATATTCTTATTATATTTAAATGCTTTTGAAAGCAGATAAACAAAATTTACCTTTCAAAATCGTTTTTCTGTAAATATGCTATATATGCAAAGTTAAGAAATGTTATATTTTTTTTACACTAACTCAACTACTACAAACTGCCACAAAACTTTTTTGTACTTAAAAAGAAATATATCAATAAAAGTAACTGTATGTTTTCATAATCATAAATATATAAATCTGTTTATGGTTCGGGTAATTTTTCTCAAACATTTAACTAGGGTATAGTTCTGCTGGAAGAGTGTTCCAGTACTTGGAACTGTAGTCAAGTTCCAATACTCCATAAAATTAAAACCGAGAATAATAAAAGGGCATGTTTGTGGGTCTGAGTGTGACCGCCATAGCTCTAAGTGAAAAGAACCTACAAACATGAAATTTTGCACACATACTAAGTGGACACTGAGAGTGTGCAACTGGGTATTATTACTTATTTATATGTATAAGCTCATGTGCATCTTTTTATGCAGAAAACCATGTAAAAAAGAAATGTGACTGCCATAGCATCTTTTTAATGAAGCAAGCTAGTGAAAACCACATAGAAAAGTAGTAGTTCCTTATATTACATATAGAAGTCACAGACAGACATACATGTGCATGTGTGCGTGTTTGTGTATGAGTGATGGCTATAGTTCCAAGGGAAAAGAACCTAGAAACTTGAAATTTTGCACCCATACTAAGTGGACCTTGGGGGTGTGCAACAGTGTATTATTACTTATCCATGTGCATGCAAATTTTTTTATGAGGCAAGCTACCAAAAAAAACCCAATAAAAAATAACTGACCACTATAGCTCTAAGAAGAAAGAACCTAGAAACTTGATATTTTGCACCCATACTAAGTGTACCCTGAGGGTGTGCATCTGGGTATTACTTATCTTATTTACATGCATGCATGCATGTGTATCGTTTTAAAGAACCAGGCTTGTGAAAAACCACATAGAAAAGAAGTGGTTCCTTATATTACAAATATAAATTAGACAGACATGTGTGCACGCAAGTGCTTGTCTGTGTCTGCCATAGCTTCAAGAGGAAAAACCTAGAAACCTGAAATTTTGCACCCATACTAAGTGGACCCTGAGGGTGTGCACCTGGGATTTACTTATCCATGTTTATACTCATCATTATAAGGAGGCAAATGAGCAAAAAACCACATAGAATATAAGTGGTTCTTTATGTATCAACTTCTAATATATAGAAAAGCCAGTGCATTTTGGTAACAATGCATTCCGACAATGGCTTTTATGTCATGTTGCTTAGCAACAAAAGTATAGAGGTTATACCTTTATTCTAAAATGGATTCAGCATACACACACTATTAAACCTTCCAGATGAGTCACAGATGAAAGGCCATGTCTTCACGTTTGTTGATTCGCATTCAAAATTTTATTGAACTTCTAATTCATAAATTTATGTCAATAACTTTGCTATCAAACTGCAGATTATAATTCAAATTTTAGCATTATACCTTACTCAATTTCTTAATTCAAAAAGTAAATATAGAAAAACACAGTTACACATCGATTTTTATGTGTCACGTTGTATGTTGAATGCAGCACTGGTTCAAATTAGATGTTGATGTCAAAATACCATGTTTATAGTTTTGTATGAATTAGGAACTCAAATTACCAATGTTCACAAGCTAGAAAACAAAATAAGGTTCTCTTATCTTTTGAATTTGCTAAGATATCGCTCATGTAATAAATCAAACACAGTGGCATCCTGCTCACCTCTTTCCATTTTTGGAAATGCTCCCTTATATACACTTACCTCTATATATATATATGACAAGAATAACCAATCGAAAGCTCAGAATGTCCCCCTAGTGGCTTTCTCCGCCATTTTAACGTGTTTGGATGCCATTTTTCTTTCAGACCAAGATTTCAAAAAGGTAGGTTGTGTCTTTTGTCTTCTCAAAATTTCATATTTTTTAGACTGAAATACAGCTTAATTACTAAGCTTGAATAATTATAGTGGAATTCTATGGTATTTATATAGCAGTTGATGATTTTTGGCTATTCAACTGTATATATAAAAACTAAACAAAATTATTTTGTTTCATATCCTCCATGTGCAAAATTTTAAAAAGCTTAGCAACCTACGTTTAACAGCAACCAAGCACAAAGGTCGTAACTAGAAGAGATAATTGTTTGCTTTACTTCTTTATTTACTGTTCTATGTTTTAAGAAAATAAGTTTAAGTAACTTATTTCTAAATAAGCAATAATCTATATATATATATATAGATTTTTTGTGTCTTTCATAATCAAACTCTTAGTGTTAGAGAATACTATGATTGTTTGTGATCCCCACTATTTACTGGGAGAACCTTCTCAGGCCACCCAGTATAAGCTCTGTCACACCCACCCCCCTCAGGAGCTGGCATCAGACACCATGCAACTTCTCTGGCTCAAATTAGGTATCAGAACATTAAAATGGTGAAACATTTTTTTTTCATACATCACATGGTTATCAAGACACAAATATGGTACTATAGAACTTATTCAAATACATTTTACAATTATACTGTACACTTAAGTGTATTCATTTTTAACAAGTTTATTATTTACATAATACATATTGAAGGTTGCTTCTTTTTAATTCTTTATGTTGGCATGCAAAGCACTAAGAAAGTCACACTTGTTAATAAGGTAGTGCAACTAGGAATACATTAAATTAACAAAAGATATGCATTTTTAAAACTTGTTTTAATGTTAGTGATTTTTATACGGTACCAAGTTTTTTTTCCTAGCTGCTTAATGTAATGGAAGTTATTTGTTTTCTCTCTGTAATATATGCATATTCAATTTAGTATTAATGTAAGTAGTCTCAAATAAATAATGTTGCTATATTTTCTTTATTACCTTCCAAACCAAAGGTGGACGGAGGTTATGTTTTCACCCCTGTGTGTGTGTGTGTTTGTCAGCAAGATTTCTCAAAACTGGCTGAATGGATTTTGACGAAAGTTGGTATATATTTGTACTATGACTCAACTTAGAAGTGATTAGTATATGGAGGATTAAGGTCATGAAAATCCAAAAAATTCCTATCATGGGGAAAAATTTTTCACACTATTTTTGCTTTATAACTCAGACAAAAATGATTGGACTCTGATGAAACTTGGTGGACATGTGTAGAATATTATTTCTCATTGTCCTGCCAAAAATGGTCCATGTCTGTTGATAACAATGGACATACAGACACATTTTAGTATTTTTTGAGAGCCAAATATGATCAATGCTACGTGGCAGAGGTATGCACTCTACTGAGTGTCCCTCTAGTTTGTTATGGACTCACAGAAATGGAAATTAGGTTTTGATTATGTGGTCCTTATTGTGATGGTGACTTCAAACTTCTGACAAAATTTAGGCAGGGCTCCGGTACATTACAATTTAACACTACGCCACTGACTTTAACTAACTCATGTTCATTACTCGGACAGTGAAAAATGTCTTTACCATGACCACACGGTAGCTTTACTATTCCTAAATAAACAAGGAATCTTACTGTCTACCTTATACATAACCTTACCATATAGTTACAAAGACATACTTGCCAACTCTCATGATTTGAGCAGGAGTTTCCTGAATTTGGACCTCCAACCTAATCTACCCGATCGGGTTTTAAAAATTGGTCATTTTTACCGATTTGCGTAACTATAATTAACTTTTCATACATTAAAAGTTTCTTGGTAAACATCAGCCAATTGTTTGCTCTCTATAGCGAAACCTGTTGAGTAAACACGTGATTCATACCAGAAATCAGGCTTCACTTTCTTCTTTGCCAATGAAAACCGATTATACAAATAAGATGTATTTATCGTTCTAAACCAAGCATGACTGTTCATGTGATTACTAAAAATGGCTTATTTGGCAGAGAAGAGAAAATGCTACAAGTGCACATTCCAGATGTCCACGATGGACAGATTCTTTAAAGTGATTAGATGTTTCTATACTGCTGTTGTTGACAAGATGCTGGCCAAGTTCCCCTTTAAGGATCCTGTGGTGAACTCTTTTGGTTTTCTTTTGCCAGAACAGGGAATAGATATGAACCCAGCATATATCATTGTGTCAGAGATTCTGTTTTATCATTCCATCATGACTATCAGGCTGTAGAAGATGAATTTAGAGACTTTCAGCTTTGCCATGACAGTGATCTTCCACCAGCAGATACCTCAGTTGATGTATTCTGGGCAGATGTCAGGAAGATGAAGTACCCCATTACAAACAGGAGAGGTTCCCCCATCAGGGTAGATTGGCTAGGGCACGTGTTCCATTCCTAACAGTAATGCAGAGTGTGAACGAGTCTTCTCCATCGTCAGAAAGATTCAGACTGACCAGAGATCCTTACTGGACATAACAACATTACAGGCTTTGTTGAGAACCAAGATAAACAGAGATGAGGAGTATTTCCAATCTAAGCCTTCTGCAACAGTGTTAAAGAGTGCCAAGCGTGTGTGTGTGTGTATGGAATATAATAGAGACCTAGATTTTTTGAAGAAGGGTTTTGCAGATGTTCTGTATTTGTGATTAAAAATTAATGATATAGTTTATTAAATTTTGTCAATGCAATAAAATTTCATATACCTGTTACTTGTTCATTAAACTCCCTCACTGGTATTATAAATATATATAGATGTACATTTGGTGCCTCAACCCTGTTTTCTGGAAGTAAAAAAACAACATTGTGTTAAGATTAAGTCTGAGATTTACAAAAATGAAAATTTGATGATATCCTGAGACCTGCAGAATTGAAAGCAAAAGAATGCATGATATTTGCAAACTGATGGGCTTTAAACCAGTTTTGCTTGTAAATTGCTTGATTTGCTGTGAGTTGCGCAAAATCTCACCTATTTTGAAAGTTAGCAAGTATGCAAAGATCCCATTACTTTGTACAAAACAAAGACATTCTTATATACAAAGAAGGCATAAAAAATTCCATTAACACCATAGAGAAATGATGCTTGTTAAAAAATGTATCAACATATTTATAATTTTTGTTTGGCTGGCCTCCTCAATCACCCAGAAGAAAGAAATCAAACAACGGAATGTAAAAATCAGAAAAATCTATGCATGGAAAACAGTGGTTATTTTGAATATACATAAATACACATGTAATGAACAACAGAATTGGCTTCCAATTGAAAGTTCAAGGTTTAAATTTGAGTAATAATGATTTTCTTTCTTTAAATGTTAAATTTTTACCTTTTTTCATTTTTGACCCCAACTACCTCTTTTTCCTGATTATTAATGACCTTATGTAGTTGTGCAAGTTCTTGCTCATATCCTTGACATAAACCTTTCCATGTTTCATCTGTCTTGTGCATTCTGTTTATAAAATATTAAATATGTTTCATGAATCATTTCACAACTGTGCTACTGTAAATAATAACTTTTGCAAGTACTTTACTATATTTCAATTATAAGAATATATATGTTTTCAATAAATGAATGGTTAAGGTGATAAAAAACAAGCCATTAAAAGTGATAAAACATTGAATGAATATAACTAGATGATTTTAACTAGTGATTAAATGACTACACCTGGCTTCACATTTTCTGAAGAAACCTCTATCTATGAGCTCTCATTTTATAAGTAAATTGAAACAGAACCGATCACAATCTTCACAAAGTAAACTAATACAAACATACATTACAAAGCATTAAAGATTTGTTTTTAAGTAGTTAACAAAGTAATGACATTTGCTTCCAGTCATGATACAGTAATTTTTTTCTATTACAGCCAACACATAAAGCTTTCCACCAAAAAGAATTTACACGTTGAAATACAAAGCTTGTGATGATATTTTTCCATTTGAATTAATAAATTATTTTTCAAACAAAGCCTTAAAGTTATTATTTTCCTATACTGAAAATATATTTCCAATAAGCACTTACCTCCTATTATATGTTCTTGTTCAGTGCTGCCCTCTATATGCAAAGAACTCCAACATACACCAAGATCAGCGTGGTTCAACTGGGTCTCTCATGTACAACATCATGCAACAACCCTCCACCAACAGGAGTTGGAAAAACCTTCCAAATGCATGTGACTCCCTCTGTTTTATTCTACCAAACTATCACTTTGAGATTAGGCAGAAAAGAAAAGCACTGGTTTTCAGTGAGGAGGAAGGGTGGGAAGTGTGAGAGGACTTTCAGTATAGAAAAATAATTTCTGATATGATACATTATCTACACTCACATGTATAAGCTAGAATCCCACACTGAATAGGTGGAGGGACTGGTGCGAGAGATAGAAATAAGTATCTTTCAAAAGCATCTGAAAAACATCCATCAAGTGGAAATAGGTGTTGCAAAGATGGGTGGAAAGTGGGAGAGAAAAAACCAAGTGGTTTGAATCCAAACCACAATATACCGGAATCTCAATCCTGGTGAAGAAAGACTGTAGAAGAACTATTTACAGACAGGAATGTGGGGAAAGCTATAATGGATGTGCTCCAAGGTGTATAGTGGCTAGGGTGTGACGGACTGTATGCGGCTAGTCAACTCCAGTCCAAAACCAAAACTTCCGACTTGTTATAGGAGGATGGTCCCCACCATCTTCACCTTAATTCGAGTAGAAAAGAATTATATACATGTCCAACCGATCTAATAAATGGGGGAAATGTGTGCAAATCCATAACCACCCATACATTTGGGAACCCAACATCTGAATGATGGTATGAAGGAATGTGACAGTTCACATCAAACCAAACCCAATCCAACTGGAATCCTACTGTAAAACAGAAGCCTCAGATAAAGAAAACTATCTGAGGTATAGTGCTAGAGAGAGAACCTTTGCCATAAACATCATCATCCTCTGGAGAGGACCACACAGAAGTTGGAGTGCATGTGTGCACAAAATCAATTCCTGGGACCAACTGCATGAAGGTGGAGTGTATGAGGCAAATCTATGACGATGAGGAATCACAACCAACATGTGTGATGATTTATGGTGATCAGCTATAATCCAAAACCATTCAAAGGGAATAGATGTAAAATATATGCAGCCTCACCCTCCAGATAAAACCACAAAGAAATAGGGTGCAGCATCAACCTCTGGAAAATACTGCACAGAGATGGAGCATATGTATTTGGAACTATGTGCAACATCAATCTCTGGATAGAACCAAACAGAAGTTTGAGCACAACATTAACTTTTGGTACCCACTGCATGGAAGTGGATTGCCTCTACAAAACATATGCAACCTCCCACTCCAGATAGAATGGGATAGAAGATGGGTGCATCATCAACCTCTTGGACTCACTGCACAGAGATAAAGCACATGATTGGTTGATAGCATTCCATCTAAACCAGCAGAACATCACTGTCCTACTATCTACTGAATGGAAGTGGTCACATTCAAGATGATACCTCCATGGTCCACCACCCCAATGGCTTGTAGCTGTAAAGTGGCAAGGACTCCCATACTCCACTAGAAGAACAAGGGAGGATAAAAGTGGTGGAGAGTCCAGAGGAAAGCCAGCACTGGATACAATGCAACAGATGACCATGAAAACCCTCTATTGAAAAGCATACAGCCCCTGATATATCAAAGGGATGTCAGGGATGGGCAGCTATCCCTTCTGCTTTACCCATGTAAGTCCACGGATTAGAACGTTTCAGGATGTGCACATTAACGAACTAATATATTGCACAGAAACAATTACTAGCATTTTGTGGAACACTCCATCTCAACAGTGTGCATTATTGGCCATGGGTATATTGTTTTTCGTTATTTCCCCTTGGCTGTACAGTGTGGATTTGAGATATAGAAAATATACTTGGACAGCCAATGTTTGCAACTGAGTGTGATTTGAATCCTAAATGAGACATACCCCCTGGAGGGAAATATATAGAAAGGATAAATCACCCAGTCACAGCCTCAACAAAGTTTGAAGGATGGCAGCAGGCAGAAGGTGGTACTCCAATGATGTAGAAACAGCTACTCAATGAAGATAGTAAGAGATGAATGTCAGGCCACATGCCTGACTGAAGAGTTTCCTCCAATGGATGACAGAGATGAGACTCCAGGAAAAAGGCAAGGTGCTTGATCTGAAGCAAAGACACCTTTGGAAAGAAAAAGACAGGAAGGAATAGACCAAATGAAGCAGTTGACTATCCCAAAATTGTAAGGGTAGAAGAAGGAGAAAGGTCACGTATAAATGAATGGTGCCAGGGAATGAAAAAGTATAAATGGAAACCACTAAAGGAGGCCATGCAAGCAATGGAACGAAGACCACATACTGGAAAAAGAAATCTAACTGCAGCAGACTGAGAATAAAGGTAGGAAATAGACAGAAGAGAAAACAGCGAGAAGGAAGAATGACCCTCATGAGCCACCGAAGTATGGAGTAGAAAAAATCGACCTGGATGAACCACACTGTAAGGAGGTCAACAAATCTGAAAGAAACGTAAATGGAACTGGCTGGCCCAGTTTTGACTGGGAAAATTCACTGCCAAGGTCTGAGGATGATGAACCATAGACCAAAAAGAAAAAAAAAGGTAACTTGGAGTAAAGTGGTAAAGATGAGGAGTACTCCACTGACTTCATAGCCACCTGAAAACCTAGTGGTAGAGAAACCAATCCGTGAGATAAAGTTGGTAGGGTCTTGAAAAAAGATCTGCCACAAGGTGAAAAGTACTCGGAACATGACACGTGGAGATTTATCCCCCATGTATGGGCCAAATAAAAGAGGTCCAATGTTCGACCACAAAGGGAACAGGAATGAGTGCCTCCATAGTAATTGAAGTAGGCCACAACAATGGAATTGTTAGAATGGAGCGTGAAACATTGGTACTGTACCAGTGGAAGATAATGAACCAAAGCACGTCATACCACCATAAGCTAAAAGATTTTGAAATGATAAGACACAATGATCTGAGACAATTGCCCACAAGTCTTTTGCTGGTAGATCAACACTCACCAACTTGGTGTGAAGAATCTGTGATTGGATCCATGGAGGAAGCAGTACTCCCTTAGTTGTGCTATCCTTGGTCAACCACCAATGCAGATAGACTTTAAGGGAAGGAGAAAGGATAATTGGGGAGTACAAGGAATCCTGAGCAATATTCCATAAGCCATGTAGAGGCTTCTGAAGAGAATTCATATGTATCTGACCCAAAGGGATAACAGCTTCCATAGGAGCCCAAATTTTCAAAAGCAACAGAACCTCTTGTGCCAAAACCAAGAAAGCAATAGATGCATGGAGAAAGATGGGCCCAAATGATGGGGGGTGTTGAAAAATACACCCAAGTGGATAAGGTATTGGGTAGACAAAAGGAAACTTCACTAAGTTTAGAATCCAACCAACACAAACAGCTCCTGTTAGCAGCAGATGTGTGTGTTGAGAAGATTCCAGTTTGAAATGAACCAACAGGAGCCAGTCATCCAAGTAAAGGTGTAAACACAACTCTAGAGCATGCAGAAGTTGGGCAAAAGCCATGACCACCCAATAAGATAAATACAATGCTGAAGCAAGCTTGAAAGACCAGACACAAAATTGATACACAATCCTATAGTGGACAAACCAAAGGTAGCATCTGGACTGATGAAAAATATGAATATGGAGATATGCATTTTAGACATCTACCTTGGTCATCTATAGTCCAGGAGAAAAAAAAACCTTTGGTGCAATAAAGGACTCCATGGGAAATTGGCAAAGAACCAAAAATTGGTTGAGGCAAGACAGATGGATCACAGGACAAAAACCTGGAGTAAAATCCTGCAGAAGGTTGGCTGACAGGCATGATAGCTCTCTGTGATAAAAGGATCAGACAACCTTAGTTAGACTTTGTCAGGTAGCTGGATCCCAAGTTAATGGGAAGGAAATCGGTACAGGAGACAAAGGTGGAGGGGAAAAGAAAAGAATGAAAGATCAATGTCACACAATTTGGATCACCTTAGAATTGGCAGTGAATAACCACCAAAGGGGAACAAAATCGGCCAAATTGCTCCCATCAGACAGGAAACCACCTGAAAGTCACTGGAATTACTGGCAATAATGAACCAGACTTTGAAACACACAGCAAAATTTCGAAATCCCTAGTGGCAGGCACTGGTAAAGAATGGGAGGTTGCAGGCCAAGAAACAGTTATGGGAGAGGTTGTTGTATCAGAATGAGAAAAAAAAAGTAGCCAAAGACTAAAGGGGCGAATGGAATTCTGAGAATCCACATATGATTCCAAAGACTCTGGAAAATCTTCTAAAACAAATCGATGGATAAAAAGAGCCATCCCAGAAGTCATAAAAAATAAGAGGAAGGTAGATGAACCTATGAAAAGACAGCATCCTTCCCAATATGATCCCAACATCAATAAAATCCTGTGTGAAGGGATAGGGCTGAAGAGGACAATAATGCCAAGGAGGAAGAAGGAGGGAAAGTACCTCAGAAAGGAAGTGTTTGTTGGACAAGTACTGCAGAAAAGCTGTAAGGGTAAGACGAAGGTGGGAAAATGAATGTGGGAGGAATGGATAGGATTATCAGGGACTGCTGAAAAGGGCAAAAATGGCTCCAACTGCTGGAAGTCGAGAAAGATTTAATTAGCATGCTGATAGGAAGATGGGAAAACAAGGGACCCTATTGATGGTTCTCATGTAAAAAAGGAAGGAACAGTATCATATGAAATAGCGAAAATGAGAAAACAGAACACACCTGAGAAAGCATATCCAAAACAGGCAGAGATAGGCCTAGTAAATCTCATAGGAGATATGTGGGAAAACATGGCAAAGTTAGGAAGAGGAAAAAAAAAAAGAAGTCAAAATCCTCCTCGTCATGAACAGGTTCGAACAATGCAGGAGGAACCCGAACATTGTCGGGAGAAAAAGGATGGCACATATAACGATCAATCTCCCGATGAATGATAGCTGAAAAATCCTTAGTTGAGACCACAAGACCTGAAGCCAGTAATGACACTCAAAGTAGAGGTAATAATATCAGAAGTTGTAAAATACAAACTTCAGAACCCAACGTAAACCGTGAAAAAAAAAAATCAATAAACAAAGGTAAGTTATCGCACCAAACTACTACAGAAAATACTGACTGTAGCAAATGAATAAAACAAGTAAATCACTACTTTGCAAAAAACAAAACAAAAAGAACTCGTGAAAAGAGCACAACTGAAAAATGTCTGCACTTGACCACTTTCTAATGAGAAGTGATAGTTCAGTAGAATTGAATAGAGAGAGTCACATGTGTGAGGAGGGTGTGTTGCACTCCTATTGGTGGTATGTTCTTGCATGATGATCTACTCGTGGGACACATTTGAACCACATAGATTGGGGGGTATGTGGGAGTTCATGGCTTGTGGCATCTGAAAACATTTTTGTATATATATAGGGTAGCACTGAACGAGAATAGCTATACTTGATAGAAGAGGTAATGTATCATATCGGAATTCAAAACCGTTCATTAAAAACACCAATAAATTAGGAAAATAAACTACAAAATGATTTCACCTTTTTATAGTTTTCTCGATTTGATTTAATGCTTTGACCTTGAATACCTGTCACAAGTAAAAATAATAAATTAATTTTTAGGGCTAATTATATGATTTAAGATGAAGGAAAATCTCATAAACCTAACTCTACAATGTATTAGCCAGATACTGACATTTTCTGTACAAGGTAGATAAACATGACTGAGATACAAGTTTGCATAAAAATAAACTAAAAAAAAATTACCTTCAATTTTAAACGTTTTTCTTATTGGATGGAACTAATAAAACAATGACAAAAGCAAAAGGATTTGAAGTCTGATAGTTTTTTTAATTCTTTAGTCTCTTAGTAATGTCTATAGGGTAAATTATGAAAATTTAATAGTTATGTAACAACCATATACTTATTTGAAAAATTTGCTTATTTTGTAAGACCATATAATATTATTTACAATAAATATTAATTTAATTTGATTTGACACAACATTCTAAGCAGTTTCCTTGGATATGCCTATCTTATCAAAATCAGTGACCAAATATATCATCAAACTACACATAAAACTATAACGAGGTCCATAAAATGTCATCGCGAAACAAGCGGGGTCCCGCTAAATTGGGTTTTGTAAAGATACACTTAAAATATTAAAAGTTATTAGTATGGAAACTATAACGAGGTTATGGTTACGAGGTCAGTTCCAGGGACCGAGCTCGTGTCGAAAGAGTTAATGACCCATCGCGTTATATCCAAATTTATGTTAAATCATGGTTTCACTGTAATGGATTACCTGATTTTTAAAGCAGCCAATTATGTATATTACACCTGGCACTTGGTGAAAAAAATATTACAGAAATATACATTACTGAGTTCTCAAATAAATATATCAAATATCCACAGACATAGCCAATTCTTTTTCTATTATGCTTATGTGTACATAGCTTTATATATAATATAACAGAAGTAACGATATCAGCAAACCTTAAGTTGATCTTGTAATTTGTCATCCATCATATTACGAGACTTGACCCAGTTCATCAACTGTTCTTGATTGGCTGCCATTTCTTCTGACTATAAAAACACAAGTAAAAAAAGTTATTTTATTACTGTTTAACATATATTTATGTGTTCATTAACAACACACACACACACACACATACTGACTTTGAAATACTGATGATATTTCAAACATAACAACATAATGGAAGAGTTTCATCTGTTTTTCTACACAATCATTTATCTTTGGAATTTTATAGGTATTTCACCCTGCACACACACAATCATTAACCTTTGTGTTCAGAGAGTAAACTATAAGCATAATGAGATTTTAAAGGAATAATTTCACTTTGTATGCATAGTTACTAGAATTCCAGAGTGACAAATTGGAACATTTCTTTTTTATATGGAATGACACTGTAACAGCTTTAAAGGAGTTTAAATTACAATACTTTATATCATTTGCTAAATAATCTGATATTTATTGCACTGCATTTAAAAACAATAGACAAACATTTCTAGTTAGAAAAATAAAAAGTGCAGAAGTTGTTGCTTCTTTGATTTCTTTATCGCAGCTGGGCAGGTCTTAAAATCTCCATTGATAGGATAGGTTAGGAAAACATAGCAGAGATGGAGGAAATGTGTATCAGATGATTTATTTTTGTCAGGTGATTCTCAAAGTAAAACTTAACATATAATGGAAAACTGTACATATCAAACTCACACCGAGGTAACCCTATGCATGCAACCACATATTTTTAAATATTAAAAGGAATTTCTTACTCTGAAAGGAACCACCATTTACATGTTTGGAGGTCTATTGGCTTATCTCACTCAGTGCATAAGCCTTCTTGTAATAAGTTAATAACTTACTCTCAATATTTTACAAGTGCTTTATAAATCTTACACAATATACAAATTCACAAATTTAGATAAAATAATTACATAACAATTTGTTTTTATATGGTAACTAAATAAACTGAGAGGTTAGAATACTGATCCATTAAAACTAAGGAAGCTCAGCAGAAATGATCTATAAAGGGCAAAATGCTCAGAATATTAAAGAAAGTTATAACTAAATACTAATCAATTTATTATTAACTGCTACCATCAAGCATGAAAAATAATGGGGAAAAACAAACAAATGGAATAATAAAACAAAAATTTCTGAACTATTATCAACTTTTATAAAGAAATGTAGATTTTTAAAAAACTATATTAAACTATTCTAAGTTGAACTGATCTAAAATTCTCAAGACCTACTTTTCTTGCTAAAATATCTCGTTCTTGAGCTATTCTTTCTGCCTGAAATATGTTCAACAAAAGGATTTTATAAAAACACAATGAAATCCTAGAACTGTTAATGACTAGTTGTTTTTAACAATAGGATTTTATGAAAATATTATGAGGACCTACTATTATTGATAATCACCTTATGTTCAACAATAGGATTATATAAAAGAACTATGAGGACCTATAACTGATGAAAATACCTTGGGTATAACAAAAGTGTTTTTATATAAAAGCACATATAAGAACCTAAAACCAACAATAAACAACATTACCGATGAAAAAATAATAACAGTAATTTATAAAAGAACTCAACAGGAGCAGTGTTGGTTTATTTCAATATTTCAGATATAAGCCCTTCTTTAGAATACCTCAAAAGATTTTTTAAGTTTGAGATAAGTTGTATCATCTGCTTTCGGAATTTTATGCATCTTTTCATTTGATTTATTGCTAGCACAGTAGTCCTACAAATTACATACACATAAGCTGCAGTAGTATATAACAGCACAAGTATGTTACAATCGCTTTGGTTTAAACTAAATTAAAACAAAATACAAATGCTACATAATCTATTATAAAAAGCAGAGTGTTTGGGGAAAAAAATACATGGTCATATATCTCTCATTTCATATCTGTTCCTTATACATTCCACATTTCTTGATCAATCATATTGATAAAATTCTTGAAACAGTACGTCTTTTTTCGGTATTGGAACCTTTATGTATTTTTATTGCACTTTTAATGTTTATTATGTTAAGAAACAAAATAGAAGCATAATTTCCTATCCTTTGTTACAAACATCTTTTTATTTTACCAGTCCAACAGAAGGGTACTCCAGCTAGTTTACACACAAATTTTAAACAGCACAGTATGTGTCCATGTCAAGATTGTACAAGAAAAATAAACAATAAAAGTGATTTATAACTTCCATAAAAAATGACAAATGAAGATGTTTTCTACAGAAAGCATGCTTCTCTGTTGATGCTTTACTTCCAAGGCTCAGAACAGATTATAGGAATGAAAATCTGAATAATTTTTACTTTGGCAACAATTGTTTTGCCTGCTTCGAATTATATTTAGTATGTCTCACTAACAAGGCAGCTGTAACTGAATTTCAGCATAATGAAATAAATATTGACCACAACTTCCCAAAAAAAATATATAAAGGATAAAGTATTAGGTCGTCAAGAAATTAATGTCGTATTTTGGAACACTTTCATTAACCCCCCCCCAAAACATGTGCATCACATAATAGTTAAACAAATCACCTAAACATCACATTACTGTAGACTATATAATGAGTGAAGTTTAATATACTGTAATCCCCTATAGTGATGGCACATGACGAGATAAACATTTGGCATGTAATGCTGTTTGAATACAAGAAGGGAAACAATGCCTCTGTCGCCACAAAGAATATCAAAAAAGTTTATGGAAATGTTGTGAACATTCATAAGTGTCAACAATAGTTCAGCAAATTTTGTTCAGGCGACTTTAGCCTTAAAAACTGTGTTGGCAGGGGCTGACATGTTGTACTTGATACTCATGCTCTGAAAAATGCTTGTTGAGTCTAACCTAAGGCAACACACTCCTGAAATGGCCCTGAAATTGCGTGTCTGTCATGAAACAATATGTAAAAATCTAAGGAATATGGGAAAACTCCTTAAAGAAGATTTTTGGGTGCCTCACAAACTTTCCGATGATCATCATTTCCAATGTGTGAATGTTGCTTAGTCTCTTCTGGAGCGCAATGCACGTGAACCACTTTTGGACAGAATTGTCACCAGTGATGAAAAAATGGATTCTCTATGCAAATATTAAATGTTAAAAACAATGGCTCAGTCCTAGACAAAAACCCTTTCTGACCCCATAACCTGGACTCCATTCACAGAAAATGATGCTTTGCATTCAGTGGGACTTCAAAGGAGTAATTCATTTCTAACTCCTCAATCCACAGCGAACTGTCAATGCAGAGATCTATAATCAGCAACTGGAATGTTTAAATCAAACTCTTCATCAGAAAAGTGTTCTTCTTCTCACGACAATGCACATCCACATGTGACACGTTTGACACAACACAAGATTATGAATTTGGATTGGGAAGTTCTCCCCCACCCACCATATTCTCCAGGTATGGCACAATCAGATTACCATCTTTTTTGTTTGTTGCAACACCATCTTGATGGGAAAACGTATGCAAATATGGAAGATGTTAAAGAGGACATTGACATGTTTTTGCTTTAAAG